GGCATAAGAATGTATTCGTGATTACGTGTCAACTCGAGGAGGACAAAGGAGTACACAGGTGGCTAAGTGCTTACTATCTGGCAATTGACGAATGGCCGGGAATCAAAAAGCTGAAAGACTTTACGACAAACTGGAGTCCACATTACAATTACGTTTTCCCGCTATGACCCATTAATTCTTTTCGAGGATCGCGTACTTTATTCATCTTTGAAAAATTAACTAAAGCTTACCTATTCCAAATTGCCTTTCAGGTAAGTTTATTACCTTAATAAAAAACTTCACATGCAGTTGTGTGCCACATCCGTTTCATGCAGTCCACTGTTCTCAGAAAGGAAAGAGGAAATTAGCCTTTACGTAACGCTTCGTGAAATGGCCCGGACAAACAATCTTTCTGTTACATTCCAAGGCTGTTGCTCAAAGTTCTTCATTGACCTAATTAACCATTTACGTATTGTGATTAAAATAGTTCTGCAAGAACCTACTATGATTACAAGTTTCAATGAAAACGATAAATGATACTTCACTTTTATGATATGAGAGTGCGTACTTTGAATTTTTGTACTTCGAATGTTTGTACTTTTAGCTTGTAGATGTGTTTGATACAATCAACAATCTCCCAAGATTTTCAGTTTCGGTTTCCAAGGTCTCGCCATATATATACAGCATTTTAAACAAAAAGAAACCAATTAAATCACAATTGGATACCCCTGCTAAGAATATAGTGGCCGGTTCAGTCTGGTTCTCGGAGTAATATAAACATAAACTTTTTGAGCTATGCTGTGTTTGGTCGTGAGAATTTATAGATTTAGCCGCATTGATTTACATTTCGAAGAAACTCGCACTGTTTATTCGCCAGATGGAGGTATACTTTTCACATGTCATGACTGGAGTCTGTTAGGCGCTTATGGCATCTGCCAACTTGATCAGCGGAAAACTCGGTTTTTGAATCAAGTTTTCATGCCACAATTTCATATTGTATCACTCTGGAAAAGAGGAAATTGTGACGATAGTTTGAGGTAAATCATGACTACCCGATAAGGAAAATTTCCCTCAAAGACATCAGTACTTCATTTGATGGATTTGACTTTTCAGGCCACAGATAACATACCTTGTTGAAACGTTTCCTTGTTACCGCACGTACGATGGATCTTCGGGATCTCGTCAATATCGAAGTTCCCGAGTTGGAAGAATAATCAACTCTATCACATACATGTAATTTTCACTTTCGGAAACAGATTTCAAAACCTTCAGCCTGCGGTCAATGTACAAAGACTTACTTAGGCAATTAGTGTATTATCTAAGCTAATTTGAAGGTATGCAAACATTCTCGAGATGTTTCGTAAATGGTAATGGTCAGATAATGGGTAACACAATATAGGAAAAGGAAAAATTAATTTCGGAGCCTAAAACGACAAAGCTCAAAAATTAGTTTTCCATAATTTATTCACTTACTATATGGCACAATGATCAGTTAATCATTGTAAAACGTTCTCATAACTTATACAATAGCAGGTATTGTGTTCACTAGGGAACCGATTCCCGTTGCTCGGAGATAACTAGCGCGGAGATAAAGTAAATTCCGTCTGGTAACGCAGGAAGGAGAATTAGGATGAAACAAAGCGAATTATTGCGCTCTCGGATGAAGAAAAAACCACTATTTGACACAAAATTTTTTTCAGAGAGAAGAAAATTTAAGTTACAGGTATAAACTGGTTATGAATGAAGAAGCTTCTAGAACTTTCAGATTAGCCCCTCCCATTCTTTGGCTGTTTGCCACTCGGGTCTTGCCTTTACTGTGTCAAATGCGCCAATAAACGTTTGAAATACTGTTCGTTTCTGTTTATGTTCAACTTACACTTGACTGTAATTAACGCAATTAAACAACCCCGAATACTCTAAAGGTATTCATAACAAAGGTAAAACTACACTTGAAATCAGGGGAATCCCCGGACCGAAGCAGGCTTAATTATGGACCAAAGATCGACCTCATTCCGAAAGGACTTGTCCCTGTGAAAAATGATGCAATTTTTAAAACCGAGTAGGCTTTGGAGACGAGTTTGACCACAGATGAAGATTTGGAGGCCGTCGTACAAATTTTTCTCGCAAGTGGCAGGAAAAGAACCTCTGATAATTTCAGTCATAAAGGACTAACTCTAGGATATTCTCACGGTGATTAAAAAAATCAAGGGGTGTTATTATATTGAGAAAAAAAAAAAGTTTAATCTAGGGCTGGCCTAGATGAGCTCTTTCGAATTTTAATTTTTAACCTGCTCATCAAAAAGTACAATTCTCTCAATAAGGAGCTTGATATCAAAAGCGTTTTGAAGGTTTTTACTCCCCAAATAAAGGTCATTTCATGGATTTAGGAGGTTATTTCTTAACTAAAAGTGTTGTTACTTAGAAGTCTTATTAAAACTTATGTCATGTTGGATAGAGTGAAGGAAGCATATGCGTCACGGCGCCGAGACGAAATCCGATCAAAGTTACACGTCAATGAAATTAGCAACAGAAAATACGTATTTAAGCTCCACAACGATGGGAACCAGCAAACAATCTATTTTCATAAATCACTAACAATAGAAAGCTGACTTCTTAAGTTTCGTGACGACTCTGTAACCGAATAGAAAAACAATGACATTCTTCGTAAAATTATCAGTGGTTTGTGTAACTAATAAATTTAGTTTACAGCATGTGGCGGCATGGTAAGACTTTTTAATCGTAGTTTCGTCAATTTAGCAAAACATATTTACAGAAAGAGGGATTATAGAAGGGGGCAACCTTTTTGGTTACTTCAGCTGACAGGAAGTTAAACAGATAATTTTGAAATAGAAATTTATGTCTGAAATTAGAAAAGTTAAGCCCAAAATAGTTCATGTATGGGCTCATGTTCGGTGCAAGTCTACCTGCACGTTCATGGCAAAGCGAAGAATAATTTTTGGCTGGTTCTCAAGCTGAAGTAAGACACAATATTTTCTTTGGTTTGAGCTTTGCTTTCCCCGCACAAGTGAAGCAGAACTATCGTAAAATTCGCCTTTCTGAAGCTGCGCTCTCCAGGGAGACGTTTGACGTGAGAAAAGGAATAAACCACATGCTTTCGAGAGAAAATCAGTGCACTTCTCTCTGGATACCTTCTTGAATTCGCTTCCATTTTTCGCTAAACGTGCACAAAAAGAGTTGAGTGAATGAATTATGGCGATAAACTTCTGCTTCTATCGAGTGAAGCAGCCCAAAAATAAGTGGATCTTAAATGAGGGGCACGAATGATACTTCTCTCCTAGAAATTTGGTTCACTGATAAGTGTGAAACCAGTCCTCACACAACGACTTATGACTCTTTGATCTAAGAAAAGTTCTAATCCTTTTAAACAACTGTCTCCCTTTTTAAAAACAATTTTAAAAGAAAATTGGATGACAGACTTGTTGAAACTTGCTGGCCAAACCGTTGCGAAACTTTTGAAATTTAAACAACCGGTCCTCGATATATGCATAGGTAACAGACTACGTTGACTAAGACAGTGATTTTGGTCAACTAAGATTTTCTAAAAATGAATTCCTGAGCCACATAGGAAATAATGTTGTGATAGATACCTTAATCTTCACGATGTGCTTTCACGCTCAGATTCAGTGAATGGGAACTTCTTCACAATCGGTGGCTTTTTCGAAGCCACCGTACTTCCCAGAAATATAAAGGAAGTGACGTAATGATTAGTACTCCGCATGGGCAGGATTAACGTATCACAGAGTTATTTCCTTTTATGGTTCATGAATCGACTTCGGGAAAGCTTAGTTAACTAAGATCACGGTCTTAACTAAGGAAGTGTGATGTGTATGCATGGTTAATCGTTAAAAACATAAAGCAAGAAGATAGAAGATATTATTGTTGGACGCCATTCATAATTTATGCGTTTTCTGTTTAATTCTCAGAAATATGGAGGAAGTGGCGTAATAATTTGAAGTCCGTGGGTTTCGTATTCTGATGTGAATACTATGGCCACAAGGCAAGCGGAGGGCGCGGAGAGTTGTTGGAATGATGATAAATTAATCAAATATGACCATAATATATTTGACTTATTCTCTTCCCACCACACCCCACACTCTTCTCGTGCGCCCTGAGAAGACAGCGACTGAGTCCGAGTTCAGTCTGTAGCCATCGTATGCAAGCCTGAGTCTTTAGCGCCATGATATGAAATTCTGAACTAGCAATGAGTTTTTTAAAAATGAGTGGCGGGTTCTTGAGAGCCTGGCACTATTTCACGAGCTAAATCGCTTTTAAAAAAATAGGCACAGAAAAACGTTTCTTGAGCCAGCGATATCCAACGCGGTTTGACTATGGTAGTAGATAGAGCTAGATCGGTGTAGAAATTTACCAGACTAATCGAGTTCGTTTGGCGCCAAAAAACGCACAGATATTTGTTCGCGGACATAATCCTCTAATGTTACACAGTTTGATATCTCAGGAGAACTAGAAGAAGACTAAGAAGAAGCGTGCCCTTCCACGCTGGAGATAGTAGACCCTTAGGTTTAGAAGGGATCGTGAGATCAAAGTTGAGTAAATATTTCCCTGATAATACAAATGAAATATGCGGGAAGAAACGATTCCTGACAATCAATAAGTGCTTCGTTAGTGCTTGTAAATTATTCAAACAGACAGGAAATATACTGTTGAATAAGAAAAGAACATTTCTGTGTTGCATTCAATGAGCGCCACCCTCAAATAGGCGCAGCCCATGAATAAGCGCCACACTTGCAGAGCTTCTAGCTCATTTCTGATAAAATTCAATTGTAAAATGGTTCTCATTTTAAGAGGTTTTTGTCATCCCTCCCTCTCCGAAAAAACCTCATGTTCTTGGGAGAACATTTAATTTTTGCTCCACACGGGGATCTTCTGTGCCAAAGGATATGTTCGCGACGCATTCCTTTGCCAAATTAATTGTTTAGTTGCTTGCCTATTAAAAGATTGTAAAAACGGAGAGGAGAAAGAGAATGGAGAGACTCTGATGTCTGGTAGCAAAAACAATTTACTACAAACTTGCTAAGACAAGGTAAATAATAATTTTCAATAGGACTTCGGTATAGTTTCTTTGCTGAAACGATGTAACGTTCGTGTAGCCATGACTTACATGGCTACTTGAACTTTGAAATCCCAAGGTTACACCAGAATAAAATAACAAACGACTTACATAACTATGAAAAGAGTAAAAACCTAAGAAATTTCAAGAGCAAGCTGGGCTTTTCTTCCCTTCATTTCTATCACACGTCTCCCGAAGGCAAAGAAGATGAAATTTGAAGCCCTTAGAATGCCTTCCTCTTCTGGTGAAACTAAATTTGAGAAAAACGTTGTAGAGGAGCCTTATTTCACACAGCATTCTAATAACCATAAAACACTACCAATTTAATGACAACACCATGAGAAATGTTTTGTTTGGCTGAAAGTGTAAGGGTTATAAAATCCCTAAAAGCATATGTTCATTTTAGATGACGATAAAAACAACCCGTACCAAATCTAAGTATTCTGTTGTTTCCTTACAATGATAAGAAATAGAATTTTACAATGGCTTCACTATTATGATAAACTTAGCTTTCCATCTCCTCGGCAGACTAACCGATGCTTTGCACAATTTTACACAAATCTTTTAAGGGATGAATAGCCTTCTACTAAATTGGATACAAAAGTCACTGTATAGAAATCACTTCGACCTAAAGGGATCCTGCCACCCTCGTTTTCCCTCCCCCCTCAGGTTTGTGTCCTTGCACAGGTAAGATTAAAATAACTATTACGATGTTTAACACTTTATACCCCAACAATCCACACTTTTCTCTTTATATTTCCTCTGGTACTAACAATGAGAGTTTGTTTGACAATCAGGAGCTTCCTAAATTAATGATCATTGCCTTTATTTTCGTTACATTTACCATTTAATTCTAGGGTGATACGGTGAGGAAAAATTAGGAGCCAGTCATTCCTAGGGATAAATAGTTCGATTCTGCAATAAAGAATGAAAACGTCCATCAAGACACTTAGTAAAACATCTCAAATAGAAACAATTTGCCTTTTCTTGGAATTCTGAGCACTGGAGTCGAGGTTGTTATTCATTCATTCCTGTCTGACTGTACAAAGGATGGCGACAAATTGGGCAGCTGCGACTGCAAATTAAAAGAAAATATTTCAGGTGAACTTGAGAAAAACTAGTGTGGGAATGTTACAGTAAAATCTGGCCTACCTAATATTAAAAGTCTTGCCAAGTTTATGAATGACGTAATATCGCTTTAGATTGAAGAGAACTCCATGACAAAATACAAAGAGCGTCTCGAAACTAAAACTGAAATTATCTCTGGACCTCAGAAAAGCTAAGGGGACAATCAGGACGATACCCGGGACACCAGACTCACTTCCAGCTGGAGGCGGGAGCGAAGGTCTGTTTCTCCGGAAGTCCGTACTGTTTATTCTTGATGTAGTTTCCTATCATTTCCCAAGTTATTTTGATCGCAAAAACCAATCGCTGTTTGTCAATATATCACTTTTACCCACTGGCGATCAAGGCTACTTAAGAGGAGACAGTTTTTTTAATTTTACATGCAACTGAAAACTACTCATTGTAGACTCATAGCTCGAGCAGGTCCACATACACACACACCCAATCCAGAATTGAATAGCAACAAATTTTCAGCGGAGCAGTGGAGTGTCCTCCCATATTTAAGCTTATTCCCAAAAATAGATATCACGATATTTCATGAACACTTACACGCCGTTCTGTATCATAGCAATGGCACACTCTCGGTGAACCTTGTGTGAGCATGGCAGGATCTGACAACCGCTGAAAGCGTCCTGAAATAAAGAACTGATCAATGAAATAAAAAAAAAAGAGCAAAAAAATTTGGATTGTGATCTAATTGCCCTGCTTCTCTTTCGCCAGATTTCCACTTAAGAAATGCAGGCACCTGACGTTGCTATGCGTAACAGGTTAATAAAACCCAATTGAATGCAAGGTTAATTCCTTTAGCTAAGGGGCAAAATCTTTTGGAGCATATTTCTCCCATTCCTTACTCTTATTCAGCCTTAATAAGTAATTACGTAACTACCTCTAAACAGATGCAGCACTCATCGTGTCCTGAATTTGCTCGGCAAGAATGTTTTCCTTCCAGCCGTTTGTCCAGACAGACGTTACACACATCACAGTGGAAGGAGCGGTCCTTGTAGATTCTGAACGGAAAATAGGGGCATCACTTAGCAGGTATTTATTCGAGCACAACATGATTCGTTGGGGAAACAAATCTCTAACTCATACTGAAAAGCGTTGTATTTTTCTACTCGATAAGCTAGAACAATTAGTGAGCAGGAAACTTGATACGTATGAGGAAACCAAAACTAATATTTTGTCGGACTCTCATTCCTTACTGAGAAGCAACTAGCAACGGGGTGTTTTAAGCACTCATCGATGAAACATTTCTCTGCAATACCTTGCTCTCGCTCAAAAGGTAACCCTCATTCTTTTGGAGAGCATGCATAATATCCAAACAAACGAAAAAAAAATTTCATGAATATTGTTTCACCTACCGGCAGATACCACATTTTTCGCAGTGATAAGGAGCTTTATCCTCCCCTGTGAAGTGTTTACACACCGAGCAGAAATATGCTGAGAACCTTGTTTTGCATCTGACACAGGTGTGGGCGTCCTGGTTGATCTTAAAAGTCAAGCATTCGAAGTTAAATCGCTTATAACCTAAGCGTAAGAACTCTCTTTCCTCATATAAAATTTGAAATCAATGTCATTCCTATTTACCTCTTGTTGATGGCTACAAACAGAGCACTCAACAGAACACGCCTCTCTTGCTTTGGAATTGTCATTTGGACACCCAGAGTTGTTATGACAACGATGACAAGGAAAGAACTTTCCGCAGCATGAGAACTTGACACGGCAGAGCCGCTGATAATGTTCACACAGCCATTGTCGAACCCCAGCACTTGCCGAGTCTTGCGAAGGTGTTTCTTGTCCACCGCTAGTGGAGTTCCCTTCTACTCTTTCATTCATAAGTTCCTTTTCTCTCGCTTCTCTCGCTTCCCATTCTTTTCTTTCACGTGCAAGTTGTTCTTTCCTTGCCCGCTTTTCTTTTCTTTTTTGCTCAGTTTCTTTCATTGCTTTCTCTCTTTCTTGTCTTTCTTTCAAAGTTCTCTCGACAAGAGAGCAAGCTTCAGCCACACGTTGCTCGAGTACGGCCAACGACTCGTCAGCAGATGTGTTTGAATTACTGTTTAACAGACCCTGATCAGCTCCCGCACTTTCCCTGTCCGGAAGAAATTCTGGAGCGTCATCTCTTCTTTCAAACTGCGATGATAACGTCGGCCTTTCGGTGAGCATATATCCATTTGTGAAGATATTTGGCGGATTTCTTGCCCGTACATTACCAGTGAGAAACTCTTTGACTTTCAACGGGAGATTTGCTTTAGATCCATCTTGGAGGAAACTTGAAGATTGAGGCAGTCTTAACTTCTTCGCTGAAACAGTTTTGGGCATTAGGACTAAGTTAAGGGATGACTCTTGCGGTTGATAACCATCACGACTTGAGTATATTTGTGGAGGAGATCCCATGGTGCTAGGGTAGGTAGACTGATCTCCTGCATCGAATTTTGTAAAATCACGACATTCAGGAAATGTCGATGAACTTGGGGCAGTAGGGTGGTACAATTCAGGCATACGCGCAGATCTGTTGTACTCGGCGAGGGTTCCTGCAGGTACTTCTAAGTCTTCAAATGGACCGCAAGAACCCCTTTGCTCATCAGATGCATTGCACTCATAAGAATGACGTGCGAGAAAACTGGGATCTATTCCGATGTGATTTGTTCCAAAGTCATCCTCATTCGGATCCCTTTGTGAACTGTGGCCTGACGGAAGATCGCTTCGGCGTCCACCTTTCAAACCAAGAGATATTTTTGTTCTCGAATTACTCTCATGGGAATCTCCTGGTGTTTTTGGAGGAGCAACAGCTTGGGTATTCCAATCCTTTTCAAAGCCGTAAGCCCCATTTATAGGAAGTACATCGCGGTTTTCACCGCTGTCTGCAACCACATCTCCTCCATGAAAAGAAGTTTTTAAATCGACATTCCCTCCATCGCCGACTTCGTTTGGTGTTTTCATTATCTTTTGTGAGATGCTGATTCCTCTGTTTTTATCCTTTTGGGATGGATTTTTATCTCGATAGCAATGGTTGCCTTTACGATGTTCTTGACCAGAAAGTTTACCTGGTTCGTCTAATTCTTCGTTGCTGTCCCACTTGTTGATACCTCCTCTAAATGATGGAATATCAGGGTTCACAACTCCATCTGCTGCGTCGCAAGGAAATTCTCGCCAGCTTCGGTCAGGGCGCGACTTCAACTGAGGAACCTCGTGAAAGTCTTCGCACAATAATAACTTTGCAAGGGCGATGTTACATTGCACTAAATCCGGGTGATCTGAACCGTAGTCAAAACTTTTCAAAATATGTAATGCTTCTTCAAAGCAATTTTTTGATGACAGGTTTTGTTCCATCAAAAAAAATCTAACACCTTGCTTATAGAGAAACGATGCATGTGTTGGGTGGTTTTTCCCAAGCAATTCTTTGCAATATGGTACAAAAACGTCGAGGAAAGATGCAAAGTTTAAGTTTTTTTCGTTCAAGTGAAAATCGACCAAATTCAATATCATTGCGAACAAGAAGTCCCAGTTGAATTTTCCATTACATCCGAGGACAGCTTCAAAATCGGGAAAGAAAAACGAAAATGAAGACATCGGTGACAAAGCAGACGATGAAGATGACGATGTTGGTGACGAACATGACGATGACGAGGATGAAACTGATAAAGATGATGATGATGACCCTAACCCTGACCCTGATGCTGCCGTAAAAGATTGTGAGGAGGGCGATCGTGGTGGTGATAGCGATTGAGGGGAAAGAAAAGGGAGAGCCAAGCGCTCCGCTATTTTCTCTGCTCGAGCTACATCTCCAATATTTTGATACACCAAACAAATTTTAGAAGATATAAACTTTGAGAACATTCCTCCTTCATCGTTCATCCTCTCAGATAGTGACCCCAATGTCCTCAGCTCCATGAGTGCTTTGACAGGCTCTTTGAGCTCTATGAACAACTCTGCTCTATTGTAATATATGGCAGCTACCAAATGTGGGGGAATAATGGGGTCTTTGGCCTTCAGAAGAAGACGCTCTTGCAACTTCACTGCAGCAGGGTAGTTCTTTTGACACTGGTAAGCTAGGCTTAAGTTGGATTGTATAACAACCATGTTTATTTCTGTAGGGTAAGTTTTGTTTTTGTTTTTAAATGTTTCTAAAATCTCCAGCGCACATTCTAGATAATCCTTAGCCTTCTCCATAACTCTCATAATAAGATAAACACAGCCTACATTCGCCTTGGCTACTGCTTTTAACGTATCGATAACTTGAATGTTGTTCCCAGGACATGGCGTGACATCAGATGTGAAAAGAGAATGACATCGCCGAAATAAGTCTATAGCTATTTTATATTTATGCAGCTTGAGTGCAACAGCACCAAAGACAGTAGTAAAGCTGGCATAAAAATGGTCATCGTTATCTATGGGCAGCTCGGGGTTTAACAAAACAGCACCAAAGAAAGGAGGAGCGGAGCAATTACTCAAACACATCTCTCTACCTCGATCCATCTGCTCCTTCTCGTAATCAGTCGGGTTTCTGAAGCTATCTGGGGTTAGATTCAGGAAGTGCTTATACGCAACTTGCAAAGACTCTATGGCCGCTTCCATTTTGCATTGCTGGAACTGATCCATCGTTTCTTTCAAGTGTTCAACTGTGCTGCGTCTGGCCGACTGATTATCATCACCTACCAATTCATCCTCAAGATGGAGTCCTGAACCAGCGTTTTTTGGAATCTCGGGGTCTGTTCTGTCCATCTTTAAGCTTAAAACAGAAATTCATTCACATCAAGTGTCATCAAATTTTTTATACTCATTTCGTCTTTGGTGATTTTCTAACATCTCCATACGATCTTATGAACGTGTTGAAATAAAACGACTGGGTTTCGAAGAGGAAGTGGATTTGTTTTTTTTTTGTGCGACGCTTTTGCGGTGATGCTACCAAGTTCTCCTCTTGATTGTGAGGTGCGTTGCTAAATACAAAAGTAGTACGAAATCATCTCGGCAAAAGTCACTCTGCCTTATACGGCATCTAAAAACTGTAAGTGACTTAAGTCGCCATTTCAGAAATTTCCGAAACAAATTAAAGAGCCAAGTGCAATAGAATCATAAACATTCCATGACAACTAACGGACTTAAAATATCGACCAAACTAGTTCAAAAAGCGTGTGTAGTGAAAACCGAAGAACAGATTCAAGGCGGTCTAATGTTCTTGTAAAGTGCCATTATCTTAGAGTTTGTGAGTATATGATGCGCGTGCGGCGAGTTTACTGAACACAGAATTTCGCGACAAGCAAAGTAATGTATATCCACTAAGCGCTGAGCGTACTGTGCAAACGGAAGCGACCTAAAGGGACTCCTTTACGCCGCATTAAAGTCCCGTCTTAGATTCACCTACCTACGTGACAAAGTAAGTTGAATCGATCGATAATTACTTTAGCTTCCATTACATTTGTGGCGTTGCTTTATCTAGTATCTTAACTGAAACAGCATTTAGTGCCATCAATTTGAATGTAAACTAGGTCAACTATAATTTGAAACGACCGATCCATTTCTCAAGTTGCGGAGGTCCACGAGACTCGCGCGAGGAGATGGAGGAGCCTCGCGCTTGCATTGCGTTTGTTTTACTCTTATCTGACAAACGCAAATGAGAAATGACACCTGTTCTGTTGGCTAATCTGGTTTTAATTCGAGTGATCGCTAGAAAATTTGCATCGATACAATTCGTAACCTTCGATCCCTAAAAAAATCTATTTTATTTAACGTTTGATAAAAAAAATTGTTCCCTTGCCGGTGGTTTCCTGTGTTTTGCGGGTACTTCACTGTACAGCTTACGTAGGAGATCAATTATCGTATTGTATGACGTCTAGCGATCTCAAACCGCCTGCAGGTTTGTCTGAGGGTGGTAGAGAGTTTGTATCTGACACGTGATTAGGTCCAAAATATCAACACTTGACTCGTGAATTTTACAAGAAGGCAAGGTTCAGTGAGTTTTAAATTTCCCTTTTAAATTCGTGGCGCGTGAAATACTATTTTAAGAACATGTGACGCGTAATTGTTTCTAAACTTTACGCGTGAATGTGGATCAGGAACCCTCCCTTGCTACCCTCTTGTCTACCTATGGTTCAATAAGTTGTTGATAACCAAATGGAAGCGAAAAAATAAAATGATCTGACGGTTTACACTGGTTTACGTGGGAAAATGTGAATTGAGTGTCGAAATTAATCCGGGAATGCTTCGCTCGGTGATTGTTGCAGATAACTCACGCCATCCTCTAAGCCAATCAGGTTCAAAACTAACCCTAATCACGTCTTGGACACTTCGGTAACACGCGCCCAAAGGACTTTGGTTGGTTTAACTTACAGCTTTGATTGGTTCCTTTTCACAGTTTTCCTTTCCACTGATTGACTTTCGTGAGTACTTTACTTGTGGTTTCGAGAGACTCGATAAAGATGCTCCCTTATTTGGTACATGGTTAGCTAAAAATGAAAGCAGATCACGAGTACTCAAGAGGAACGCACCGCTATTTAATCAATTTCCGATAAAAATAAAGAATAATTATTACAGACATGCTTTAAAGTTCATTCTTCTGATGCAATCTATCTCGGCTATCAACGACCATCTGCTTACTTTACTTATTCAACCTACCCCAGAAGCTGTTCAGAAGGCATAATATTAATTAATATTGCATTCAATATATGCATTTTCATTACTATTGTATTTAATATATGCATTCTAAGGAGTACCCTGTATGCATTTTATCTTGACTGTTAACGAATAGCTGCTCACTTTGTCTCTTCTACTGTGTCCGGAGGCTGTTTAGAGGGCGGTTCAAAACAAATCCGTCATCCATTGGGATCGAAATCACACGCAAGCAATTGCAGAACGGATGGTTTACTTTCGCTCCATGTTCACCCATGCGTGCATCTCGATTGAAAATTAAATACACACTACGAGCACTGACTACTACACAACACAGGAATTTAGACTTTCAACAGTAACTGCAACAGTTCAAAGCGTTTGGCTTCCCCTTTGAATTAAAACTAATCTCGTGACAATCTGTTGATTTGTCTTTAAGATTGTAGACCTGTGGAGTAGACTTTGGCAAACAGACCTCTCTTGTGCGTATTAATCTGAAAAACAGTCAGGAAAATTCTAGCCTTACCTGGTTAAACTGGATTGAGCTACTGTTCAGTTCAGGATAGGTTCGTGTTTGAGCGGGCCAAAAATGATGTCACATAATCGAAACAGAAACTACTGATCAAAGCATAAGCTGTTCAAGGTCATTATTCAATTTTGTTCAAAGCTATCATTGAAGCGCAGCTTGATAGTTCACAACATGCCCAGGCGGAAACAAAAATATCATTCCGTTTACATCGCCGCGGGCAAAGAGGCGTGCAAGACTCTTGGGCTCGCGAACCATATATGTCGTAGCTTATTTAAAATCCATCGCATAATGCATTCTGCCCTGGCGTGCTAGCACCGTCCAGGTTGGCCTTACAATTCAAATTCATTGATATACATGCTAAAATCAACATGTCTAGGTCTTGTCTGCCAAGAGGATTAGCATTGCAGCTTCACTCTGTTATGAAATTGCAGCTGGAAGCTTCCAATCAATATACAACGCTTCCACGAATATACAACGCTGGTGGCCGCAACTTTACCGAAAGTAATAGAAGTTTGATACGAGGAGAAATTTCGATCGGACAAAGCACTTGTCTCAATTTCCATAATTATTTAACTTCTTAAAATTATCTTGCTGTTCAACAAAATATAAATTCCGTAACCTGAGTAGTGTCGTCACTTAGCCAGCTTATCTTGTTTGTTTGAACTTTAGGAATTTTATCCAGTAAGATATTGTGTTTTGAATTTTGGTAATTATTTTATTCTTAGCAAGTTTTACCTGTTTTGGTGGAAGGGAGGTTTAGGGGCTCTTTAAAAGTCTTTCGATTTAATCATTAACTTGAGCGTAATGAAACATTTTGAACAGATAGATTGAATTTGCTGTGATAAACCCACATTCATGATTTCAATTGTTTCAGAAGGACGCGACAGGCCGCTGGAAGACAAAAAAGGCTTAGCCCTGAGAGATACAAATACAAAGCGAAGAAAAGAATTCAATGTTGCCTTGTGTGATACCGACTGGTCTTTCATTAATGAAGCTGAAGATAGCTTACGACTCATTTATAGAAAAATACGTAGGAATCGTCTGCACTTGTTTCCTTTTAATAAAGTGAAAAGAAAAAGGTTGACTAAAAATTACAAAGCCTTCGATCTCTAGGGGATTATTAAAATCAATAAGCCAAAAGAACAAGTTGTAAAAACAATACCTGGGTTCTCGCTCAACGCGACTATTAAGAACTGCCAAAAAACAATACTATGACGCCCTGCTTGTTAAAGATAAAAATGACGCGACTATTAAGAATTACCAAAAAATAATACTTTGTAGCCCTGCTTGCTAAAAATAAAAGTGATTTCAAAGCTACATGCAAAATTCTAAATTGTGCTACGAAATCGTTCGAAATGTAAACCTATTACAGTTTCATTGATACAGGAACACGGTGTGACCATTACTGATTCTGAAGACATTGCAAATAGGTTCTGCCAATGTCTTTGCTAATGTTGGCCCAAATCTAGCCAGCAAGATCATCCCATTGTCTCAATCTTTTAATGTATACCTAACGCTAGTCTCATCGTCCTCTCTACAAAATTTTGATTCCGTTAAAATAAACGAGCTCTTCGAAGTTGTAAAAAACTTTAAAGACGGCAAAGGTCCTGGACTGGACAATTTGCCTAGGTCCACCATTTTATCTGTGAACCATTGCTAGATATTTCAACTTGTCTTTGACTTCGGGTATTTTTCCATCTAAACTTAAAATTGCTAAAAGGGGTCCCTGTATTAAATACAGACAACCCATCCTTGATTTAAAATTACAGATCAATTTCAATACTTCCTGCTTTTTCGAAAAATTGGGAAAAAATTGTACATAATCGTATCTCAAGGTACCTAACTGAAAATATGCTCTTGTCTAACAACTGGTTTTGCATAAGAGATTCCGTCTGAATGTTTTATTTTTAGCCGACGATACCAAAATTTTTTTTACCAAAACCGAAATCTTATTCTTATCGTTTACTTCAACGATGAAATTTGTAGTGTTACGACTTGGCTAAAAGCTAACAAGTTGTTCATTAATGTGAGAAAAACAAAGATCATGATTTTTAGAACTTAAACCAAAAAATCCACAAGTGACAAGCCCTCTCTAAATTGATAACACAATTATTGAGAAAGTTGAACACATCAAATTTTTAGGTGTTTACGTAGACCAGTACCTTGCCTGGAAAATGCATATTAGCTACATTTGTACAAAAATTTCTAAAACAATAGGAATGTTATGTGAAACAAGGTTTCACGTACTTAGCAAATCTCTTCTCTCATTGCATTATTCTCCTGCCTCTTGCCATTCTCTCCATCCACTAGATCTTCTTACTTCACTTCTCTCTCTTTCTATCATCTCTCTATTTCTTCTCATTCTAATCTCTCTTTCATTCTGTCCTGGTTCGTTTGAAGTTGTTCCCGCTCCAATTCACGTTGTTCTCTTTCCCGCATTCTCCTGTTCATTTGGACCTTTGCTCTAGCTACTCCTTGCTCCAATGCAAGATGACTGTTGTTCGTGGACTCTAAAGACTCAACATTCCAAGGTCTTAAGTTCAGTGCAGACAATGCAAACAAAGCTGAAGCTTGAGTGTTCGTTGGGAAGACTTCGGCCGAAGGGAAACCGGCCGCAGAGGAGTCGATAGCAGTGTTGCTTGACCCGACAATCTAGAGAAACGAAACAAAATAATTTGCAAAAATGTTTATTATATGGCTAGCTCTTAGAGCGGACGATTTAGAATCATTTTACTCGCTTGGTGCACTCGTTTTGATGCCTCATAAATCTCTGAAATGTTTTTGTTTTAATTAAATAAAAACTAGAAATATTTTTTTTGTAAAGATGTCGCAAAGTACCTCCAGGGGGCAGTCGCAACTGGGAAACAACAAAGATTTTCGTGAGTTTATTTTGTAATTCTCCAAAGTATCTTTTGCCATACAGGGAATCAATTTTTGACTGAGCCTCTGCGATCAAATTTTCTGGATCATTTGGCCTCGTAGCTCCAGTTTTCATGTCGCAGTAAATAAAAGCTGTGATCTCAGCTTCAATTTTGATGAATTGCTTTTACAACGCCCTCCTTCCCCTAGTCGGCCGGCTACGTAGTCCCAGACAGGCAATATCAGTTCCCCTCTCTTTATTTTTAAGGCTATACTGTATTCAATGTTTCTTACCTCTGCCCCCACCCCTGTGTCTTGGTCATGGCGTAGGCCATTTTGATTACGAGAAATTAGTTCCAGGCGTAAGGTACGGTCTGTGGTGTTTCTGGCCTCGGAGGACTCTGTCAAACCGTTAGCTTCGTTTTCCATGATATGTGTATTTGCAACTGAAGGAAACCAATGTTGTACAACAGAAATTAGAGTAGGAAAAATTAAAAGTGGCCGGATGTAGTTTTCCGGCCACATTCACTACACTCATGAGCCAAGTTCCATCATTTGCAGTCGAACGATTTTCACTTCTGCATTGTACGTCGTCATACGAGAGATTCAATAATTTTAAAGAAGTTTAAAATCAAGCTAGTAATGCAAACATAAATATAATCGATCAAAAGTCGCTAATCGCCGTTGAATGTTAGTGTTTTGGAGCCACAGTCTATAACGAGGGTTCCAATAGGATTCTTCAATCCCGCGATCCCGACTAAAATTTTCCACAATCCCGTAATCCGGAAGGTTTATACCAGCCAATCCCGATCCCGATGATGCGGTAAAATTGTTCCTATTCTACATTCAGACAATCGTCCCTTTATGTATGAGTAAAATAGTTATTTGTACATCAGTGAGTATCCGTAGATTCGAAGCTAGCAGGAAAAAATTATTTTCAGAACGATTCACTCAATTCACATATGTTGAAAAAATATCTCCTATCTGACCGTAACTGTTTAATATCTTGTTGCCTATAAAGTACTTACTTGATCAGTTTCCGTGTGTTAAGTGCAGTTTCAGGGTTTCAGTCGTGTGCGACCTCTCAGTTCTACACGAATCTGTCGTAAGTTCTACGCGAACATTGTTTTTAAATTTATCGATAAATCAATGACCCATGAAATACATATTAAGTTTCTTAAAAATACTCTCAAATCCATTAAAAACAACACGGAGGCGCTTTCATTGTTCTTTGTAATGTGGTTATTAATCACTAATTACTAGCGACTGATTTGGAAGAGACTGCAGATTTGACACGTGCAATGTCTTCTTTGTTCTTTGTTTTCACTTGACTTAAAAAATTTAAAGAAAAAAAATGTTCTCATCAACAATTGACAACATTCTATTCATTTTAGCATGGTCCACTTTACATGAATGTCTCTTTCAAAATGAAAACGAACGTGGAAGTTGTCGAGCGTGACAATCACATCACTTCTGAGTCCCCTAAGCCTAGCGCGAAATTTGCCACGCAACGATCATATGGCATTGTAAATTTTTTGCGTACAGCATCCGACCTGTTCTTCTCATACCATAATAATCCAACATTTCTAAGCGCAATGCAACTTCTATGGCCTTTTGCTGTTTTATCACATTACCTAATGCAATAATTTTCGATTATACAAACAGGAAATTGTTTTGACACCTGCGCAAACAATAATTGACACCTAAGCAACGGATGTAGTCTGGAATGTTGGATGCAAAGGATGTAGTCCGGAATTAAGCTTATTGGTTCTTTGTTAATCGATGAGCCAAGACACCTGCAGGCATATTTAGAATTACTCTACATTATTTGTTCATATTTTTACGTGCCCTGCGGGGCTCGTTAAAATACTCAGCGATACTACACACCAAAACGTCTAATAATATTTACGGCAAGAGGGAAATTTGGTTTCTCAACCCAACCCAACGTAGGCGGATTTCCCGGGAAAACTGGTTATATTCTTTCGCTATCAAAGAAGCATACACAAATAATTTTTTTTTTAGTGTTTTCCTCAGAGACTTCATGTTAACTTTAGTTACCATTGTTTTCCCAGTTACAGTTCACTTCATCTAAGGAAACAAGGCATTGTGGTTTTAAAGAAAGTAGGGAATGAAGAACAATCAAAAAGTTTTCAGAAATGGTTTGCACAATGTGTACCGCAATTTCTTTGTTTCCAACGTTCAAGCAAACGTCACCAGTGTTTTCCCAGTTACAGTTCACTTCATCTAAGAATACAAGGCGATGTGGTTTTAAAAAAATAATATGGAATGAAGAACGAAATCAAACGTTTACAGAAATGGTTACCGCAGTGTGCACCACAATTTCTTTGTTTGCACGGTTAAAGCAACCACAAAAAGAGTCCCAAAAACCATCGATGAGATTTCGCACCTTCAAATCAACTAATTATTTCAAATAAGAAAACTTCGTGACTTGAGGGGCACCGGATTCATTAATTTGACTTTCGAACTGTCCCCAAAAAAGCAGCCAATCTTGCGGTGTCCAGTATATCCAGATAACTTTGTACAAAATCTGTAGATCATGTACAGAGCTACCTTAATTTTTTTATAACTTAAAGCTGGGAGGCTGTGGACCGTATGAATATATTTTTACTGCTAAAAGTGGAGAGCGTTGAACTCCTTAAATACTTGTGTTCCCCCTCCGCAGAGTTGAGGTCCATTCCTGATCATTACCATGTGAATTTCCGCGGGTAGCTTCGTGACATTTTCTGATCATTTACATTCAGGTTCTTTACGAAAGCGCTCCACATCTATGAAACCTGTGTTTTTGTCGAACACCTAAAATAAATTGACAAAAATTCTTGGCGTATCCTTCTTTGATAACCCAAAAAAGGGACCAACTTTCCCGGAAAAATCCGCTGAATGCGTTCGGTTGAGAAACAGATTTCAACTGATTTTTTTTTCTGTTTCTTTCTCCGTTTTTTTTTCTTTGTCATGTGCCGTGCTTAGCTCAATTTTCGAGTGTTTTCTACGGAGATTTCATATTCATTTGTGTTACCATTGTTTTCCCAGTTACAGTTAACTTCATTCAAGGATACAAGGCCTTGCGTTTAAGATAAAAAAAATAGGGAATGAAGGACGAAATCGAAAGTTCTCAGAAATGGTAACCGAGGTAATTATAATCGACTAATAATCTATTTCTCTTCCTAATGTCGCTTTTATCCCTCCAGTTCCCTCCATCGATGAAGAATTCGAATTTAGCGAGACAACGCCATAATAATAACTCCCATGGAGTTTTCGGTCTTACTCTTCAGATTGCTTCAAAAGCTTCTGAAAAGTCGCGCACTTTCTTTTTACTTTAACTAACTTATTTGCTCACTTACTTGCACATCTACTCATTTATCTACTTACACAGATGAGAGCGTAATGTCTATGGGCTTTATAAGAGGCCAGTCACCAAAAATAATAAACATCAAAAATCGCATGATTTTCACCCCAACATGAACCAAAAGCTTGACATTTTCAGTATGGATGTATTGCACCGCAATTCCTTTGTTTGCACTGTTAATGCAACCAGAAAAAGAGTTCCCCGAAAAAATTACATTGGAATCAGAAAATGAATAAATGCATAAACCAATGAGTTGTTGCAGTATTCTATACCCTCTTAATCTTAAAAAAAAAAGTGGCAATCTCTTGTTGTTTATTCATTTTGGATAGACACATGAAGAAAGTTTTTGTTCTTTGATCGGATCACAAGTATGGGACAAAGAAAAAATGCCGAGTCATATAGAGTCAAACTTCAGACCTTCGCGCCTTGATACTCTGCAACCGAGCCACAGAGACTCCCGGTGAACTAAGCCATTATTTCAGTCACAATATCATTGTTTAGTTAAATAAACCATTACATAATACTGGTAATTATGAAAACTTATTTACAGTAGCTTAATTAACTTCAAAATATATTCAAAGTAATTCAAAATATATCCAAAATTATTTGGTATGAGACAAATGATTAAAAATTATCCGCTGAAAACTATTAACTTGTTTAGTGTTCTTAATATTGTCGGCTAGCCCATTCCACTCTCTGGGAAACCGAAAGTAAAATGCTCTTTGTCCTATTGACAATCTACATCGGGGGACAACAAAAATTGTTACATCCCCTTGTGTTATTATTGTGAACTGCTAAATGTATAACATGTGAGAGATCTCCGTTCCTGAGAGATAGGTCAAACAATAGAAAACGTAAGAAAACGAAACAGAACTGGCTGGGTTTTGAGCGAATACCCGCTATACTATTCCTTAGATTAAAATCTTAGAATATGACTCGCGAAAAGAGCCCCTGGGATAAATCGATTCACTATAAAATACATGCAGTGTTGTATAGTAATACATTTAGAATAATCGATGATATTAGCTCTGTTTGTCGTTGTTTGTTTGCTTTTTTTTTTGCCAGAGCATAATTCATTACCAAAGCAATTCAATGTCATGGATACATATGCCGAAGGAAATCTTAAGTCAGGCGTTCTTTCCGCGAAGTTTAAGATCAGTATCGACGAGTAATTCAATTTTGCCTCTCTTAATTTAGGGTTTTTGGTAAAAAAAGAAAAAACTCAATATTTGACAACTAACGATAGCGTTTTGATAGTTAGATTATGGCGGAGACCCACATATCACCTGCTCTTAACATACGTAAACCTACCATATTTGTTCGACTTTGAAATGTCAAACTAATGTAAAAACGTAATGATCAATCAAAACTGAAAAAGGTGATACAGTAGATAATTTTAACTCGGGGCAAGATTTGATTGTGTAGTCTGATCGTCTGTGCGTGATAAATCCTGAGTGGGTAGTGCCTTCTTAACCGGATGATCAGACAACTCCACTGAATTTAAGTACTAACGCTGTTGAGGATTTATGCTAAAAGTCTAAACATCTGATCACCTAACAATTATCAAAGGAAATTTAAAAAATCATCCTTTCAGCTCCATTCACAGGGTCCTCTTCATTTTAACAACGAGGCGAGAAGAGAAGGGCCTGGGTTGGACGTTACCATTCACTCATTGCCATTTGTCTGACTGTATAGAGGATGGCGAAAAATTGGGCAGCTGCGACTGCAAATTTAAAAGAAACATTTCAGGTGAAAGTAACTTGAACTTTTTTTAATGAAACGCGAGAATATTCAAGTCAAGATCACCGTAAAATCACAGGTAAAACTAAAGGAAACTGCAAAGCTCACAATCGACCTAGCATTGCTTTGGATTCAGAACTGTTCCAAGGCTGCGTGCAAAGAGAGCCTTATCTAAGTGTCTTTAAACTAAAACCCAGCCACTCACAACAGCTAGTCAGAAGTTAACATCGCAAACCAATGAGGGATTCAATTGAAACAAAGACAAGTTCCTTCAAAGGAAAGAAGACGCAAAAAAAAAATAATAATTTTGACACTCTAGTTGACG